AAAAAAAAAAAACTTACCAAAAGTTTTGCATACTGACTCTCTAATCGGTGCAACTTTTCTGCATAAGTTAGTTTAAGAGGTGCTGTCATTTGAATCTGTAATACGGGATGAAAAGACATGAAGGTTAAGAATCTCAAGGAATTCTGACTCACACTTAATGTATCCATTATTGAGGTATAGGGTCTTTATGTAAAGAGCAAAACAAGGTAAACTAAAATGATATGAAAATTTTAAATTCACATACCTCACTGATTTTAGCTTCTTTAAGGCTAGATTCAAATTCTTCAATAGCTCGGTGAACATTTTTGTGATTTTCTAAATGGCTTTCAACACTTGGCAAATCTGAGCCCCATTCAGTGCGGTCCAGTTGTACCTTTGAACAGCAAAATACTAGGTTAAAAAAAGAAAATGATAGCAATAAAGACTGAAACATTCAGGTAAAGTAAACATTTTTTTACCTGCATCTCATCAACCCAATTCAAAAGGTCCTGCACAAATTTCATGTTGATTTCCTCTTCTGTTAAATTCTGATCCAGCAAAGACGACTTTAGAAGGGGTTTTCGAATCTGCATCAATTTCAGGGTTTGCAATGAATTTGGTTCTACTCCTGAACTGAAATTTGGAGCTAATCCCGATGGGAAACCAGGTGTATAAGCCGGAGTGACAGATGGAGTTAAGCGGGAAGTCATCCCTGATGACAGGCCAGAAGTCACACTAGAAGAGGTCAGGGAAGGTGTTAAACTCTGGGTCAGCCCTGAGTTCAGACAGGGGTTTAAGGTGTGTGCAAATCCTGAGTTTAAACTTTGGGAGATTCCTGACATCATGAGCTTCGTCTGTTCTGTTGTCAGCATGCGTCCTTTGCTGTACACTGAAGAACATTCATTCCTTAAGGCCATAATTTCATCACGCAGTTTTGCAACCCTGAAAAGAAAACAAAAAGGAAAAGGTATAATATAAAAGACACCTATCACAAAGAGTGAGCCCTAATGTAAACTATGAACTTACGGGCCGGCCCGGTGGCGCACTGCTACAGTGCGCCGCTTGGGAGCGCGGTGGCGCTCC